ATGGAATCTGAGCGCGCAGATTTCTGCAGATTTTTAGCCCATTAATAATTCTGTTTATTTACCTGAGTGAATGTGTAAATCTGAATTTATTCAGTTTTTATTCAGTAATTTATTACTTTTTATTTAATATATTAGGGTTTTAGTTATGATACTCCGCTGGATACTCCCAAAGTAATTCCGCAGAAATCCGCAGATTTTTACCAAAATTCTCAGCAGAAATAGCAAAAAACGTCTGCGGATTCCGTCTGGCCCTATTAAAAGCTCATTGGCTGAGTGACTGATGTTGTTGGTTTCCACCAAGTCATTGACCTTCATTTTCAAATGGTTTACTACTTATTTAATTTTTTAATATCTGAGGTTAACTATTGGCTGCTGCTTATAACAATAACATTGCATCACCACACATCCACATTTCCCAAGGAGTTTCATGTAATTTCATTTTTAAATTGTCTGCTTTATCTGTAGTTTGGCACTTTCAATTTCATTCCTGAAAATTTTATGCAAACGAGATATTGGATGAGAGGATGAACTGCTGGAAGAGTGTTGTATTAATGGAATTTGATACCGCACAGCGTATGGGGAAAAAAAACCTCAGCATTTCACGATGCAGGTGTCTGTGGTCCTTTACTGACTTGATAAGTGCAGAAAATGGTGTCAAACAGCTGTGTATAGACTATTCTGTCGCAAATTGCGTTGAAAATCCTACACGATGGTAATAGTTTAATTAAGGTGTTTACATGTCTATACTGCACTTCAATAATGTGACTAAAATCGGCATACTCCACGTATCTTAATTCCATTTCCGTTTAGTTTGATTGTGAATCAAAAATGGCTGTTTACATGGTAGACTATTAATCAGAGTCTTGTCTTTATCATATTAAATTCACATTGGTGTTTAGGTAAACATACTCATTGTCATAATAGTTTATGGCATTGTTTTGCTGCAACGTTGTGGAAACTGTTTCTGAAATAGAAATTTTGCCCATCGTTGTCGCAGATGGTTTAAACAAAAACTCCTACAACATCTTATTAACTATTGCTTGCTTGTCATCGTAATTTCTGTTTTGTGAGTAAAAGTAATACATTTTTTTACCCATTATCATCTGGTCATCCCAATCACAAGTAGATGACACTTAATGAATACAGAAGTAAATCAAATTTACAATCTTATAACTGGTTCAACTTCTAATCTGTTTAATTGATAGTCTGAAATGCATCCAACTTGATCACTTTTGTAGACGCTCATGAGATTGAATGCATCTAAATAGCCCTAAAATACCTCTCTGCCATACATGCACTCTATGAAATGCTAGGTTATTTAAACCCAAAGTGGGTAAAATATGGACAAACCGAAAGACTAGGTTAAATTTGGTCCTATTAATTTAATTCAAATTAACACAACAGTTGGCTTAGTCCCTATTACACCCAGGTTGAAATAACCCGGCATTTTTAGATTTTGTGACCATAACGATTTGATTTCATTATAAAGTGCAGTGAAAATGGAAAGGTATTTAAACAATGTGTTTAACCAAAGCATGGATTATGAACAAAGCTCTAGTTTCCATCCACATCCTTTTCATTTACTTGATTTCCCACATGCTTGTAAACCACGTAACAGTAGGACTCTTGTGTCACAGAAAGCACTCCTTCGAAAGTGATGTGATGTGTGATGAAATAAGAAGGGTCTTGTTGAAATGTGAACACAAGTGGTCTTTTCAGAAAAACGACTGGATTGATTTACTTCTCAGTCTAAAAGATTCAGACAGCGATCAAAAGGATGAATAACTGGAACAGCTTAAAGTCAGTTTGTTGCTAGAAAAGCGTCATCTAGACTTTTAAAAATAAATATTTATTATTTATTTATTTTTTACCCATGAAATATTATCGGCTCAAACACACACACACAAAAAAAACGTCCCTTTAGACCTTAAAGTTTCTTGGGGGAATCCAGAATTGCTCCTGCAAAAATGACCATTTTGAAAATGTATATTTTAATATAGTTTGGCCTTTTAAATTGAACGTCTGAGTTTTTCTCAAGTGTTTTTGCTGTTTGATTCAAATAAGTGCAGTTTTACAAAAATGGAAGAGTTTGAGGACATTTGATCCAAACAGTAGTGCCTTTTTGATCTGTGCTGTTTTCTTTAGTAGGCTGCACACTTTTACATTGTCATTCTGTACAAACAACTGCTTTTTTTCCCCAGTCAAACCTCGACAAAACCAGCCTGATCACATGAGGAAAGTTACTATTTTACATTTTGTCAGTTAAGGGGTTAATTTGTACAGTTTGTACGAGTTCATTTATACAATGTACAATTTTAAAAAAGGAGGCATGGCACCCAACCCTGGCCCTCAATCCAATCGTCAATGGTACTAAATTGTACGAATGAGATTGTACAAGTTCTGCAAGTTAGCCAATAAAATCAAAACGTTATGAATTGCCATGAGACTATGTTGGACAAAACACACACTGTTACCCCACACTGCAACCTTATACACACGTTCACTATAGTATATCTTGGTGTTTCTGTCCCAGTTTAGTTTTACCAGAGGTTTTTTTCTTCTACTTTTTTTTTCCTTATACACAGTTATTAGTTAAAATAGTTAGCATTTAGTAAAATAAGCCGCACCTTGTTTTGTTGCTTAAAATAAACTGAAATGAAATAGAAAGTTTGTTTCAGCTAGTTGCCAAAGCAACACTTCTTTGCAACACTAAATTGAAAATGCTTGTATAAAAAAGTAATGATTAAATAGACACTTGGATATCAAAATGTCAAGATCTCATTCACAATGTAAATAAACAGTACCTGTGTCATACTAAAATAAAGCGTTTTACCAAAGTGCCTTTAAGACAAGTAATTTCACTCGGCGGACATCTTTGAAACATCTCTAGGTCAGTATGCTCAGGCATTATGTTTAAACATCAAATTCTCCAAAATTGTGTTGCAACTTGCAAAATTAAAATTCATATTTGGAATCACAAGTAAAATTAAACAACTGTCTCACTTTAGTTTCATTTCTAAACATGCAAATCAAAGAATCGCAGAAACTAGCATCAGGTCCGAGCCCCTCCCCCGGAGAATCATCAGTCTATAGTGACCAATGATTGGCTCCTGTACTAAAAGGCGGGGCTTCATTTGCCATATTGACCGTTAAACTTTTCGGCATTCAAAACTTTAAGAGTAAGGAGTCTTGTGTATTAAATGGTCTTTGGTTTTGCCCATAGCTAAGAGAGCAATCTAATGTTGTGATATTTTTGGAAAGTAGTAACTGTTGTAGAAAAGTTGTAGCCTTTTTTTGCCTTTGATAAAATTGGATCTCCTTTTTAAATGTCCCCTTTCTTGATCTTCACATCCCCATGGAGACACAGCGCAAGGGCTTCTGGGTAATTTTGTCCTGCCCTTTGCAGAATGATGACCTCCCAATTCATCATTTTTCCCTGTAGGTTGACTGCTTTTCAAGAACCTGCGTTTGTCATGCATCCTCTTTGTTTTCGGCTTCTTTAGAGACATTCTTCAACATTTCTATTCACAGTTTGATTGTTTGTTTTCCTCTAGTGGATTCTGTCACACATACTTGATCCCACTCATCTTCTGGATGGTGCTACATTAAAATTTGATTTCTCTGCTTGCTTTGGCATTCTTCCGACAACCCGCAATTTTGCCCTATTTCTTTTTCTTTCTTTGCGCTCCGGTTTGGTGGCTTGGGTTTGGTTGGGGAGGCAGAACAATAGCTCAGCTGCTAGAGCCATCTGTGTGGCTGCAGACCGGGAACAGATCTGATGGAGAGGAGGAGGGGAAGGAGAGCACAAGAAAGAGGGGGGTTGTGGTTGAGGAGAACTGTTTAAGATGGGGAGAGAAAGACAAGAGGATTTAAAATAAAGGAGTTTGGAGAAAGGAGAGGGGTGAACGAGTGCATAGCCCCCCTCTTCCCCACGTCAACCTTTTATCCCTTTCCTCGAGTCCCATGCCACAATCTTTTTGCTGACAAGCTTTAACGTCAGTCTGCGAAAGAGGGAATATGGACTGGTGTAGTGCAGTACTCTAGTCAAATGAAATTAATTTCTGACAAAATTCTGATTTGTGTTTCTTTATTAGACTCAAACTTGCTTGATTCAGTGTTGTGTGAGAAAAGTAAACTGGGAAACAGGCATTTCTTTATTGTCATGTCTGTTTGTGCTTGACAGACATAGGAAATTTCTAGATTGTATGAATGGGTGGATGAAACGGACCAAACAGAGTTCAGATAATGGTATCGTGTTTCTTTACAGCAGGTGGTGGTGACTGCTCTGTGTAAACTGTCCATACACAAATCAGAGCTATAAATCATTTTAATATCTTCATTTTATGGTCCCTGCATTCATTTTTAGGCTGTTGTTGTCTTTACAAAAACAGAATTCTGCTCATTAGAATACTGAAAAAGCTGCAAAAATGATAACAATACAATAATAATGTCAAATTTAATAGTTTAGCATCACTTTATATATGTCAAATAATCATTGTGTATGATTTTGCAACTAACAAAACGATCATTACCCATTTATTTTGCTTTGAAAAAAACAGGGAATGTGTGTGTGCGCCATCTATTATTACTGGCCATGTTTTATGAATATCCTTGATTTTATTGTTTTGAAATCAATTGTATGGTGAAAACATGATTTTGGCACTTCAGGTAGATACAAGCACCAATATTCCAAACAGACTTTTAAAAAAACCGTCTGAAGGTTACAGTAACTCTGTGTAGGATGTTTGTACTGGATTTTATTTTTTTTATTTTGGTTCTTTCTTTATGAATCATTTCTGCTTTACTCAACTTGCCCTTCATGCAGATGGTTCCCTTGAGAAAGTACTGCTTCCCATTTAACAAGTCTTCTTTCAGTGGGGTGTTTTACTTTTAAACTTAAGCGAAAATGGAATTAAATAATCATCACTTGAATTCAGTTTTACACAGAAGAAGCTTTCCTATTCCAAAAACTGATTTGTATTTGTTTGTCTTTCCTGCAGGGCAGTTATTGAGTTGGCAAACACATCCATTATCCCTGGGTTCAGTGTGTGAACAGCACTGGATCCAGTGAGCATAAATAGCAGCAGCTGATCGACGGGTAATATTGGAGATGAAACCTGATGGGGTGGCAACAGTACAATCTGAACCAATGGAAGCAGAAGGAACGGAACCTGTTACAGAAGCAACTAGCAGTGACAGTGCATCTCAAAATGGCACTACACAATCACCTCCACAACCTGACGAACCCCAAAATGAGCAAGTGGCTCCTCCGAAGGTGAAGGAAGCTTCTGGGAAAGCAGTAGATGCTAAAAGCAAATCCAAAGGTCCAATCAAAGGCAAGACTACAGCAGCTGCTCCAGCTACCACTGGACAGGGCACAAGACCCAAAGCAACCCAAAGCCGTTTAGCAACTAATGGCCTCACAAAGACTACAGCAAGTACCCTAACTAAGAAACCTATTCCAGCTACTAATGCAGCAGCAGACAAAAAGAAACCCACCACTACCAGTGGACCTTCTGGTGTCACAAAGAAACCTGTTGGCTCCTCAAATGCTGTTGCAACCTCAAGACCCCAGCCTAAAGTTACAACTGTTGGAACTAGCAGATCAACAACAACAACCACCACCACCACTGCTGCTGGAACAAAGACAGGAGCAGTTGTTGGCACTGCCTCCAGCCTAAGTAGGAGACCTGCCACTGCTGCTACTAGTGCTGCAACCAAACCCAAATCCACAGGTAAGATGGCCTAACATGTTTGGGTGTTACTAGATTACTTACTGAGTTCAGGATTGGTACTTCTAGATTTGGACATGTTTCAGAAATTGCTACATTATGTATTCCACATGGTATTTCTGATCTGCTAGATCAGGGGTGTTTAGTCTTTAACCTAAAATGTTTGAAGTCCTACAGCACAGGTGTCAAAGCCAGTTGGTGGAGGCCCACAGATCTGCACCGTTTAGTTTCAACCCTATTTAAACACACCTGATCAAACTAATTGAGTCCCTGAGGCTTGTTTGAAACCTACAGGTAAGTTTGTTGAAGCAGGGTTGGAACTAAAATGTGCAGAGCTGCGGCCCTCCAGGAACTTGCTTTGACACCTTCAGAGTTTAGCTCCAACATAGGCCCCTGGTATCAACATACATTTTCAACAAATACAATTTCTGGTGCATGACACTAAATACAGGTGTGATTGCATGGCTTTTGTAGTGTAAGGGCGTGTGTCTAGCAAAGTGTTATTGTTCCCCTGAGGCGGCAGGTATTTTCAGTTGGTTTCAATGAGAAAGCTTCATGTTTTTTAGAACGCCAGCAGGGAAACTGTGCTGAGCATTTCTGAAATGTGCAGACGGTTGGAGGAAAAGGTTTTGAGAGGTATTAAAAAAATCTGATTTATGCAATTTTATTATGATAGGAAAGTAGTTATTATTAATAATAATAATAATAATAATTCCTTACATTTATATAGCGCTTTTCTGGGCACTCAAAGCGCTTTACACAGTGGGGGGAATCTCCTCATCCACCACCAGTGTGCAGCATCCACCTGGATGACGCGACGGCAGCCATTTTGCGCCAGACCGCACACCACACACACCAGCTGATTGGTGGAGAGGAGACAGTGATGCAGCCAATTGAATATGGGGATGGTTAGAAGGCCATGATGGACAAAGGCCAGTGGGCAGATTTGGCCAGGATGCCGGGGTTAAACCCCTACTCTTTTTCGAAGAACATCCTGGGATTTTTAATGACCACAGAGAGTCGGGACCTCGGTTTAGCGTCTCATCCGAAAGACGGCGCTCACTGAGCAGTATAGCGTCCCCGTCACTATACTGGGGCATTAGGACCCACACAGACCGCAGGTTGGGCGCCCCCTGCTGGCCTCACTAACACCACTTCCGGCAGCAACCTAGCTTTCCCATGTGGTCTCCCATCCAGGTACTGACCGGGCGCAGCCCTGCTTAGCTTCAATGGGCGACCATGTGAGATGGAAGTGAAGGGATTTATAAAGGTAAAGACTCAAACTTGATGCCCACAGCTCTGTTATATGTAGGCCCACATGGAATCTTCATGCACAGAAATCTGCAGATTTTTAGCCAATCGTTGAGTCTATTTATTTACTTGTGTAAATGTGTGTAAATTTATATTAATTCAGTTTTTAAATTAATTTCACTAATATTATTAAATATGAAAAATATGAAGGTGTTGATATGATTTATTTACAATACCGTTAATAAAGTCATATTTTCTGTCTTTTAGTAGATGTATTATATTAGAGACCTGGTTTGTTTACCAAATAAGTAGATCTAATTGCATTTGCATTGTAAGCATTAAATAAAAGTTATTAAAGGTATTATTTTAATTTCATATATTAAGTGTTTAGTAATGATATTCCCAAAATCATTCCGCATAAATTAGCAAAATTTGTACAAAATTCTGTGCAGAAATAGCTAAAAAGATTCTATCTGGTACTAGTTATACATCACATGTAAGCGCAGTGACCACTAGGCTAGCAGTGTCGGCATCAGAGAATAAGTTAAACAGTCTTTCCAGCTTAGCATTTTTGGAGAGTTTTTTTCTTTTCTTTTACAGTTGCATAAAACCCCTTGGTTGGCACATGCCTTGTATGTTTGTCCAAAAAAAAGTCATTACTACTACTAACATATGTCACATATTGTGGGAAAGCACACCAAAACTAGGTGTTCATAGATTACTGCTTGTACCAAAACAAAATTCTGACCAAAATAGTTGCCCTTCACATTCTTTTCACTCACTTGTTTTCCAAGTGGTGTAACATGGGTTTGTTTATTCAGCAGCGCTTGGGCATTGCGCTTGGCTCTTCTGAGAAAGATCAGAACATGAGATGCATTTAAATTCTAGTTTTAGGTTGACAGAGGGCCTAGAAGTTTGTAGTGATTCTAAAAAACCTAATAACCCTGTTCAGGGGATAGTCTGTGAAGGAAATTGGCCCTCCAGGAGGATGACTGAACACCCCTGCTTTACATGCAAAACACTTAATGTAGTGCATTGAGTCATTACATGCCACTTTGTTTTTGTATAATAAAAGCAAATGTCATGTTAATTTAATTGTCGCCCTTTCATCATGACTTTTGCATTGCTTGTACCACTGTGTTTACTCTAGAAAATGATTTAGTTGATTTTGAATTTTCTCAGCTCCAAGGCCAGCCACTGCTCCTGCTGCCAAACCCAGCACTTCAGCCACAGCCAAAACCACTGCAGCTCCCAAAACCAACAGGTAAAACTGCTTCTGGATGTTTAGAGCTTAGACATTTAACTGTATTTGAAGGGAAAAAAAAAAGAAATGATGGGAAGTGGACAATTGGGTAATATCTGTGCCCTAAAGGTATTAATAAGGCGAATTTCCTGCCTAGGTTTGGATTCAGTAACATCTGGGAACTGTTTTATATTTTGCACACTATTTAGTGCTTAAACCATACAACGATCATCATGACTGGATGCTTTTTTTGTGTGCTGTGGAATGGTTTCTATTGTGTGTGTGTCTGTGTGTGTGTGTGTCCTGTGGTTATTGGCTCAAGTTTCTGTCCCATTGTGAGTCAGACTCCCTGAAAGACTGCTTAGATCAGGCTTTAGGCTCAACAGTGCTCTTTTTGTTGATGACACATTTTGGGAATGATAATCAGTAGCTTGACTTGACTCAAAATGCTTTTAATGATGCAAGCTGGCTACGTTACTAATCATCTTTGCTGTCTACCAAAATTCAAACATTTCAGATCATCAAGCATTTACAAATGGCAGTACGTCATAGATAGAAAATATGTGGGAATCTTGTCTTGAACAGCATTAACTGTGTTTGTTGCAGCTGTTTAGTCTTTTTAATTGCATGTAGTGCAGGCCCGGATTGGCTAATCGGGAGGACCTGGAGAATTCCCGGTGGGCCGGTTCGTTTTTTTGGCCGTGAGGGCCGGTGTCCCTACTCTCAGCAGTCGCACTTTTTTCATCTATTTATTTATTTGACCATAGCTTCACTCTTTGTATTCATTATTTTGCCGCAGCGCTGCTCTTCTTATTTATTTTCTCGCAGCCCCGTGAGCAAAATGCAGCCTGCAGGTTAACTAACGTTAATGATGATGTAACGTTAACTATCATTCGACCGCAAACAGCGGCACTTTAGTGAATATAAGAATTCTAATAATTAATATTAATAAATAATACACCTGCTAAATGAAAATCAGATGATTCACTACATTAATAAATCTGACATAACTTGATCAGAAATCTAAAAAGGGGAGAAAAAGATTAAGCCATCAATAGAAAGTAATACCGTGTCTTGCGGGTCACAGTGCAATACGTATTTTTTAATTTCCATTGCAATGGCGCCATTGTGGACCAGTGGTAAGCACGTTATGTTTTGACGCCGCCGACCCGTGTTCGAATCTCACCTGGAAGATTTTTTTTTATTTATTTATTTTTTATTGTTGAGATACAGTATAATACTGTTAGGGCTGTTGAACATTTAAATTTCTAAAGCAGCTGTTTTCTTGAAAAAGACGTGATAGTGTCATTAGAAACTGAATTGGAAATGACCTTATTTTAATATAGTCGGTCGAGAGGTGGACCGGTCTGGCTTAACTCCATGGCTGAAAATGAGTCCCACTCCGGCCCTGATGTAGTGTTTAAGTGCAGGCCGTCAGTTAATCATTTATGCTGTAATGTTGGTTTACAAGTCTGTTTTAGAGTCTCTTTTTTGGGATATGTGTTGATGTCGGCAAACAGATCTACAGGGTGTGGTTTGTGTGTACATTGTACGAGTCCATGCTTTGAGTCTGATCTCCGTTTGGATTCAAAAGGCTGTAAAACTGATGTGATTAGTGAATAGTGTATGAATATGAACACTCATTTGATCTTTCTGTTTAGATAGCTTTGTTTTCCTTTTCTGTCACACAATGTGCATCCACACTGCAGCTTCAAATGAAATGTTTGCACTGCAGAAACACAATCACACTCCTGCTGTGGGAAATGTAAACTAGTTCCATCAAAGTCTTCTCACGATTCAACCAAAGTCTCTCGCCCTCTTCTCATCTTACCTTTTATTAATATTTGCTGGTTATTTCAATAATTGCCAGTTTAAGGGAAATATATTTTGAGGTAAAAGAAGGTTACTGGCAATGGAGTCTACAGTTCTTACTTAGCATCCTGTTCCTCCAGTTAATACTTTCATGGGAGATGGATAAGTGCTGTGTTCGCCAAATCAAATTTCCTTTTGTATGTGGAGTTTTTCCATTTAGGTTGCTAAGTGAGCCTCTTTGTAGCCAGAGTGAGTCATCCACTATTGTAATTTCCCTCGAACCAAGATGATTAGTCTTTAGCCATTTGTTTACCTTTTCTACGAAATCCCTGGAAAACCGGATGGCCACACGAGGAATGTTTAAAATTAAATGACATAATTAGCAACTAAAATAGTGTCAATTAGATTCTGAATACAAGCACTGCACGCATATGAAGAAGGTGAATCATGCAGTTAACATAGTGTTTTAGGGGCTGATCACCCTGAATGCGTTTTTTTTTTTTTTTTTTTGGATTAAGAGGCAACTTTTTTGAATGAATTACTAACTTTTGTGCCCTGCGCGCCGTTCATTTGAACCACCTGATGCGCCTCTTGTTTCTGCAGTTTCGTTGTTAAAGTAAAAAAAAAAAAAGCCCATTACGTCAGTCACGTCATTTTCATTCACCAATCAAATTAATGCATAGAATCATGGTTTCTGTGGAGGTAACAGCAGTGTTTGTGTTGCCAATAGAGGCTTTTGAAGATTGAGGAGAGACTAGCGGTCGCTGTTTTGAGTTATCCAGAGCTGTTTGACTTTTCAATATTTTTAAATATTAAAATGATAACAATACCAACGACAATACGCAGCTGATTCAGTCATTGCCCTGCGACATGAAAAGTGCACTGTACTACTTTTTTTTTCTCGTCAACAAAAAATGGCAGTGTTGTGCTCCTTGCATTTTTGGAATGTAAATGCGCATTCTATGTGATCAGCCCCTCAAAGTGGCGTTTGCCTAGAATATAAGGGAAATTCATTACCTGAAGCTCTACTGATGCTTGTTCAATCTAAAACGGTACCTTAATCCTAATGGCCATTACTTAATTATTAATATGCAAATGTGCTACTGGGTGTTCTTTCTTTCCCTTTGAATAGAATGAAGATTGCTCTAATGCTATCACCCTTCTTAACCTGCCTAACATTCAGAAAATACTACATAACCTAAATTGGCCTAAAATAACATTTAGTTTTGACTTTCCATTGTCATTTTGAGATTCTCAGCCAATTATTTTATTGTTTAGGGCTTTGAAAAAATACCTAATGTTGGAGGTCCATAATGTCACTGTCTGTTAGTTGCAGTATGTTAAAATCCTAACATTTCCAATTTGAATTGTTTGGCCATGAGCATGAGTTTTAAACTAGCAAAGTTTTGTATAAAGTCTTCAGATGTGGTCAGAGTAGCTGTACTAGCTGTTCACTTTAATAAACTCTTGATGCTTCTGCAGTGCTACAAAAATGAAGATAAAAGGCAGATGAAAGGATGTTTACCTTTTCAGTTATTGTTTGCTTTGTTCATCTTATGCCCTTATGCTCTCCTATTATGTTCCGTGCCCTATATTTTTGTATTGTGAATACCGTCTTGTTTCGCCTTGTTTGCCTTTTTATTCAGTTGTAATTAGAGTAAAGATGGCTTAATCAGTGTCCTAGTTAGTACAAATAAACTTTAATGTAGGTCATAGAATTTTAATGGGAAATTCCAGTTCTTTTGTTCTCATCCGTTAACAATTGCCTGTTGTTTCCGAATAGTTTGTGGGGGAAATGTTGTAGTCTTGGCATGTGGGGCCAAGCCATTTGACCATGTTCTCCATTGTGCACGCAGCACTACTATAAAGAGTTTGCTCATTGCATGTATTGTCTGGAGTATGTCTTGGACCATGGATTTTGGCACTGAATTGTGCATTCCAGCAAGCTTCATACAGTGCTTATCTTTGAAGTTCTGGTGGCTCAGATTAGTGTTTACGAAAGTCTTTCATAGTGTTTGGTCATAATGACTAAAAAACATCCAAAGGTCATGACATTTAAACCGACATTAATAATTTCCGTTCTGCAGTGTTTGACTGTATCTGCATATAACTTAATGTAGATGTTATTCTTAGGTTTTTGGTTAACTTTCCCTTTATCACTGCATCAATTCTACACTGGCACTGAGCTGTGACTCATGTGTGTATTCTTTGTTTCTGTGATGCATGTTACCCTGTTGTGCCCTTTTCCAAACAAAGCAGGCAGTAAACAGGAGCTAGCAGATACCATCAGTGTTAAGCCAAGTGTTAAACCCAGCTCTATTTTAAGTCAATATAGTAAGTCTTTATGACCAAATGTTTCTAATAAGTAACTAAGGCAAATGTGGTTAAGTACACTCGCTTCATCACTAATTCTCCCCTCTGAGAACATGAAATGGCAAATTTGGATGCAGCTGCATTAAGGGAGTGTAGGCTAGACTGAAGATAATTGATTATCATCTCCCATTTCTCCCTAATGGGGTCACTTACAGAATGCTTTACCCATCCCCACTTCCTTCATCACACCATTTCTCTCCTCCTTTTCCCGTTTCCTCCTCCCTACCAAAGTAATTTTCTCTCAGGTTATAGAAATAGGAAGTTGATGCATTAGTTTATGAATAGCCTTAGTGGATTTGTCTTCTGGTTCTTCATGAAACTTGCTTTTTACTGTGTATGTGCAGACTACAGATTTACCACCTAAGACTAGCATAATCTATTTTGTGTGTATTCAGGCAAACAAAAGGTTGAAAGGCACTCAATCAATAATTCAAAACCGTTTTGATGAAAGCCATTGAAAATTTTATATAAAATGGCAAACATTGAACAGATGTCACTCTTTTTCTAAACTACTAACAAGCATTTTGCTTTCTCTTAGGTCAACTGTAAATTCTGCCCCACGATCGGCTGCTACTTCTACTTCAACAGGAAGAGCCACAACAACTACTACAACTGCTGTTACTAAAACAAGTCGCACTGCTACACAACAACCTGTTAAACCCTTGGTTTCAGCATCAGCTGCTCGGAAAGGTAGTGCAACATTCATGTTGGCAAGTTTATATTTGCCTTTATTATGCAAAAGCATTGCTCAATTTTTTTTGCTCCCTGATATCATGAATAAATATATTTGTCATTTATAGATGTTGGAAAAACAAGCACTACAGCACCTGGGAAAAAAACAGTTGCTCCAACATTGTCGCGTCCGGCTCCCAGCAAGTCTTTAAATTCAGATGCTCCAAAATCAGCTGCAGCTTTAAAACGACCTCCTCCAGCCACCAAAGCACCTCAACTCAAACCAGATGACAAAAAAAGTGTACCTACACGCAAGGTGCCTCCTAGTCCACGAAACAATCCCTCACGACCAGCATCAGGCAAAAACACTGCAGCATCTCCTAGTCATAAGCAAGCAGGTAGTGGCAGTGGAAAGCTTCAGCCATCTAAACCAACACAGTCTGTTTTGCCACTTGTGAAAGGAAAGCCCAATAATAAAGAAACTGCAGCAAAGCCTGACAATGAAGAACTTGCAACAGACCCTGTGCAACTATCAGCAGTGGCAGTGGCTACTGTTGCAGTTACAACGGCTGCAGCAATGGCCAGGGAAGAGTTTTCATCAGAGCCTGAAACTACTCCAGCTACTGAGAGCTCTCTGCATGCACCAGCTGCTTCTTTAGATGTTGAGGAAAATGTAGATCTACAGCTCCCTAATGTCAGCCACCAAAATGTGCAGGATGTTCCTGCAACTGGGCCAGAGACTGAGGAGATCTTACTTGAAACAGATCTTGTTAAAGAGGGAGATTTGAAATCCTCAGTTGTTAGTCAGGAATCTGAAGAGCAGATGTCTAGAAAAGCTGATGAAAAGCTTATTGCAGCTGTGGCACCAGTTTCACAGGAAGTCCCTGAGCAGGAAACAACCGTTTCACCATTTGATATCTCTGCTGCCGCTGTAGTGCCCTCTGGTGTGGAGGTTGTTGAAAAAGCTGAACCGACCAACGGTGAGTGCTTTGAAGATGTGGAAGAAGAAGAGAGGGAAGGTAGTCAGCAAGTATCCCTGTCAGAAATGAGTGGCACCCAGCCTACCGAAGAGTCTCGACCAGGGTCAGCTGGGCTAGCTGGGTCTGTTTGGCGGGCGGGTGCCTTGCTCTCTGAACTTGACTCTGAGGATGTGAGTTGCAGCCAGCAGGGAGCATCAGAATTAAGTGCTCCGGGTGTTCTGGAGGGTACAGAAAGCATGGATGATCTAGGTGATGCAAGTCTTAAAGGAGCTGATGGTGAAGGTGCATCTGTGGGGTCCCCTGACTTTGAGAAGGTTCCTGATATTCTTAATAATGAAGATGATGATGACGATGAAGATGAGGATCGTGTTTGTGACATGGAGGTAGGGTCAGAAAGAGCAGAGGACTCTCATAGACAGCTTCATGACAACGATGAAGACGATGATGAAGATGTTGAAATGGCAAGTGAGGGAATTACCGAGAGTGGGCTAGAAAGTTATGGGAATGCAGATGAGGATGACTTGACGGAAGACTACAGATTAGACAACTTAAACAGAATTCAGCCTCCTATCATTCCATCTGCACCTCTGGCAACCCAGTGGAACCAGCCTAGTTGCTTTGCTGATGCCTGGGCTCAGCCACCACAACCTGCGTCTACCCTACTAACAAGTCCGTCTTCTGAATGTTGGCAAGCAGATCCAGAAACCCCTACAGAGAAACCTGCACAATCAAGAATTGATGTTTGCTCTGAAGCGGGGTCTTCCTCCCCTCTCCCGTCTAACCTTTTTGAACCCCCACCTTGCTCACCTCAACTAGCCACACTAACTGGTGCAGAGGGTGATTCTGGCCCCAAACCAGGCTTGACGCCCTCTCAAACTTCCGAATTCCATGCTGATATGCCTAGTAAACCGGAACTAGCATCTGAGACTAACAGAGACGTAGTTAGATCAGAGAAGGTGGAAACTTACAACAACTCTGGCATTGGGACAAATTCCAAAGAAGAGCTACAGCAAGAACCACTAAACCCTGTTCCCACAGTCCTGCCTGACATCATGCAGGACTTAGGAATTCACCTTGAATGTGCTGATGAAGAACAACCAGAAACAATGCCAGCAGAAGATGTTTTGGGTGGCCCACCAACTGCTCAATCATCATCTTCATCAGCTACGGAGGATGAGGCAAGCGACACGGAAGGTGAAATGCAGATCAGTGACCCTCAAGCTCAGTTACCTGGCATTGAGAGTGCCTTTGGAATTGCACCTGTGGGCCAGAATTTGTCCACTCTAGAAGAGCATGACGAAATGGGTGGGGAGAATGAAGTTGGTGGTGGGGGTGGTAGTGAGACCCCTCAATCTGCTACCTCAGCTGCATCATATGGCTTTGACTACATAACCTCAAACTCCAATGCCCAGTCATCTGCTGAGAGTTGTAGCAAGAGTCCTGGCATCTTTTCTCTAGAAAATGAAGAGCAACTCCCAGATGAGGCCAAGGATCCATCTCTTCTTAAAGAGTTGACCCTGATACCTGCTACTGGATCCGGGGAAAAGATTGATCCTGTCAAATGTCAACAAGGGGAGTTTCAAGCCAACCCAGAGAATCAATACATGCTGTGTGGAGAGTCCAGTGAGCTACCGGAGTCTAATTCAGTAGTGGGAACTGTACCCGTAAAGTCAGACTTAACTGATCCTTCCCCACAGCACCTGGAAGAGGAACAAGATCCAGAGACTCAGCATCCCTACTACTCCACTATATGCGAAAAGACTGATAGTCCCCTGGCAGGTAATGTATAGAGTGCATTTTAACAATTCACCTTCCAGTGTACTTTGTTGATGTCATCTCTATATAAGGGTTTTGTCTAGCTTGGGGTTTTCCTGTTGATGATGTCTTTTTATTCCGTTAACGAAACATTCAGCAGTGCCACTTACACAGTATGAAACAGCTATTAAAATAACACTCAAAAATATATGGCTTAGAACCTGTATGTGCAATATCTGCTACCATTTACACTTATGGTGACTGTTTTTCTGACCTATTCTTTTTAAAATAATGGGTGTTGGTCAGAACTGGCATGAAACTTTGTTTGACAATTGTTTGTGGAGTCTTTGAATTGATAAAGGCGTGAAGAAAAATGAACAACGTAATGAACATTCTAAATGTTTTGTGTATTTTTTACTGAACAATTGCATATTCATTGCTTTATGTATTCTGTTGTTGATTAACTCTAAACACCAGTCTTTCATCCCTTTTCCATCATCATATCTTGCCCTCACATGTTTCTCTCTTCTGCACTTTAGGGTTTGTTAACCCCTTACTTTTTTATGTCCTGTTTATTTGGAGTACTAAATGTCTTGGCGTTAAATAAAGGTTAGATATTTAACATGAATTATCTTTTCTCTGTATGTTTCTTGATGTTTGGCCTTTATGCTAATTTGCACCACGATGTTTTAATGCCACTGTTCAAATGCACTGGTTGTATTTAAAATAGCCAAATTAGAAAGATTCCAACTGTATATTCATGTATTTGGTGTTGTGTAAAAATAAATGAATTTAGTATATAAAGCTAAGATTTAACCCTTGGGTTTTCAAAAAAATATCTGCAAGTTTTTATTTATTTATTTTAAACTTCAGAGTAAATTTTAAAATCATATTTAGTAATATTTCATTTCTTTACCTTTAACCAGTTAGTACCATTTTTGTTGTGGCAGCTTAAAGGCTGATTTATTCTTCTGCGTCAAGCGCACTCATGCTCTGGCGTAGCCTTCGCATAGACCTTACCATGGCTGATGCCGATGCACACTTCTCAAAACAATTTACCTACACGTCGCAATGATGTGTAGCGCAAGCTCTGTGATTGGTTGGCTTGGTAGCTGTGACCAGTGTGGGCAGGACAGACAGCCACGTGAACCCGTTGGAGCGAGTGTCTACAGGTGTTGAGTCTCGTGAAGTAGCTCTATATGCAACTGTTGTGTTTACCTTGCGTTTAATGTTGTTGCACATTCGTCGGTTCCCGCCTCTGAACGAGTGAGTTTTTGCTACTTGTACATTTAAGGTAGCAGTCAAAAAAAAAAAACGCCTGCAAAGAAACCCGACACAGAGGAACATAACCTAGTGCCAGTTAGAGTTTCAGAAGAGTTATTGCAGAGCAATACAAACATCACGCAGAAGTATAAATGCACAGCTACGTGCAAGGCAGGCATAGTGGGTCACGCCAATCACTTGATGCAGACGTATAAATCAGCCTTATTTCAGTAACTGATACTAAATTGTAAACCTGCACAAACATATGTAAAACCTTCCATAAGTGTATTACAAAACAGGATGCTTGCACCCGGAGAAGATTTCTTCTTCTATATGCCAGTAGGTTCCTTTTGCTTGTATTCCTCCTCCCTTCCTTGTTTGATACCACCTTCCTCTCAACTCCCTACCACCCAGAGGAGGAAAAACAAGATTTGACCCCATCAACCTTCTGGATCTCACCCTCTGTCAAGGTGCTTTAAGTCCTCTGCAACCTTTTTTTTAATTCTCCATTTTTTATATCTTGATATCACTGCTTCTGGAGTAGACTTTGCAGACCTTACAATTTGGGACTAACTGGGTGCAGTTGCTTTAATCACTCTTGATTATTAACAGTTTGAGCTGAAGCTAATTGAAAGGACCTGGCTTGACACATTTACCTGGACTAATTGGACTTCAGTAAATCCCTATGCTGGGTTGTTCTTAATACCAAACTGGACTTGCTTTGCACAATGCACTTTCCTGTATTTTACAATTTCACAATGCAATTTCCTGTGTTTAAGCATGCTCACCTCACCACAGAAATATGCTGTACACTGGGGTGGCTTGTTTTGTAAAGCATGTTTTGTTTTTTATGCATGGGTCTATTAGTGGGGTCATGGTTTCTCATTGTATTAAAAAAAAAATCCGCATTTGTTTCCTGCTGTATAGTAATGTGCATGGTGAGCGCTCACTTTTGCATGCGTTCAGCTTGTCACATTAAGGGAATTTCTTTATCTCATCAGCATTTATTTTTGGTTGCTTTTCACTATAGTTAGTGGTTACTGCATATACAGGGTGTAGCCACATTTACTGCACAAATCTCTCATAAAATGATTTTGAGAGAATGTCACCAAGGTGCAAAATTGGTTGTTCATTCCTTCTTTTTACTGCAATCTCACAATTTTATTTCCCACGATGCTTTTGTCTGCTTCACCACACATCTAAGTTTTGACATTGCTTTATTGCAACTCTGCATTTTTAACACATTTTGGATCCTTTGTTTTATTTCCAGAAAGGAACTTTCCACCACAGCCAAATGACTTGCTTTCCATCCAAATGACAATGTCCTCCAAACTTCGTCTCCGACCACGTGCTTCCCATGTGCCTCAGGCACCACGGCTTCCCACTGACCTGCCTCCCAGAATACCAAATGCAGTGTCAAACACTCAGCTGCGCTGTCTAGAGCAACACCAACAGCACCTTCATGAGATCCAGCAAAGACAGGAAAAACGTAGTCGAGAGCAAGAGAGACAAGCAAAAGAGGAGATGCAAGTGAGAAAAGGGAAGCAGGAGGAAGAGGAGGAGGAGGAGGAGGAGGAACAGAGACGAAATCTGCTCGAGTTGAAACTTAAACAGCAAGAGCAAGAACTGAAGCAGCGACAGCAGATCATGCAGTGGCAACAAGAACTTGAAGAACAACAGCAGCAGCAGCAGCAGCAAAAACACAAGGTGCATACACCTGTCATCCTATCTCCTTCAACAGGTCTCACTACAATCTATGAAACTTTGGAAACGAGTGACTCTGAAGATGGCGAAGAGGAGGGGAAACAAAGTGTGGTGGAGGAACTGCAAGATAAAAGCTCCTTTATTGTGTTTCCTGGAGAAGACACTCAAAGATGCACAGACAAAAATGTCTCTGCTAATCCTTACACAACACCTTCCCCAGAGTCTGCTACTCAAGACTCGCAGCAAGAACTTAAGGAAACTGACACAGCCACAGACCAGGACAGTCCTTCATTGGGATCACCAGAACGACCTCCACCTCTGGAGTTTGACTGGGGAAAGAAGGTGGACATTGTCCAGCAGCTCATCAACCAGACTTTATTGCTTACAGGTGATGGATGCTCCCCGCTTCTTTTGCTACCCGGAAGAGCCGGTGGGACACTCAGCCCTCTCGAAAGCAGCATGTGGCCCAACTTGCTGCCACCTCTGACGCCCCCATCAGCCACCGTGACCTCTGTGAGCAGCTTCTCACCTGAGGCTCCCGGCAGCTCTGCACAGGGTGAGTGGACTGTTGTAGAGCTGGAGACTCACCACTAAGCGACTTGCCAAATATAAACTTCTTGATTCAAAAGACTTAAAGTGAAGGTCCACCAGTAGGGAAGTGCAAGTTTCATTATATCAGGGGTGTCACTCCCCGCAACCCAGCACAGTTTAGGTTCAACACCCTCACCCGTGGGTTTTAAACAAGCCTAAAGGACTCCATTAGATTGATCAGGTGTGTTTAATTAGTTCCTGGAGTGCCGCAGGTCTGCACAGCTTGATTCCAACCCTGAGTTTGACAACTGAGCATTAGGTAATGGTGTCTTCTCTTCACAAAATCTTAAGGAGGATGGTGATCATGGAGTACTTCTAGTATCTGCAATATTTCTGCAAAGTAGAAAATTCTGTGAACCATAAAAGTGATACTGCAGGACAGTGAGCTGGACTTCTCTAAGATCTTGCTTTTTATTTGATTCATCTTTACTGGGAGTTCTTCTGTTGCAGTGAGCTTTTACTGCCACTCCCCACCCATCCTAAAGCAATAGAACACAACAGTCCTTATTTATGTCCCTGATAAAGCCTCCCTGCCAAACTGATTGGCCATATCTAACCTGCCCCCATGCAAAAAATCCATTTAAGGCTTAAGGTTTAATGGAGATGTCTGGCTGGCTATGACTATTTGCATTTATCTCTTAGTCATTAATAAGCCCTCTACCCACAATTGTGGCAAAATGCCAACTCAGTGACTGAGCAAGTTAATACAAAGTGGACTCTGCTGTTCTTCCTCAGAGTAAAGGTTCTGTGAAATGGATACAGATCCAAGGTAAATTAAAACGAGCAGGTTTCAAAATACAGATCAAGCTGTGTTTTTGTTGTACTAAGGTGGTTTTAAAAGACCAAATGGTTTAATTTGACACTCATTCTATTGTAAGGCACAAAATGGTGTAACAGAAGAATATATTTTATGGTTTAAAACATTTTTCAGTCTGTATCTAAGCTTAGTTTGTTATTTCTACAGCTCCAATCTACAGAAACCTGTATTACAGTTTTCCAAAGCACAAATAGCTACTCACTTTTAAACCTTTTAAGAGTTTGGTTTAAAAAAAAAAGTATAAATAAAACATTTTGCACATCTGTATCATCTGAGAAATAGCTGACATCAGAACCTGCGCCATTTTAGGATGCAGGTTCGTTAGAAATATTTTAGACTACAGGTTTTCAATCCAGTTCCTGGAGAGCCCCAGCTCTGCACAGTTTAGTTCCAACCCTGCTTCAACACACTTACCTGTAGGTTTCAAACAAGCCTGAAGGACTCGAGTTTCATCAGGTGTGTTTAATTAGGGTTTAAACTAAACCGTGCAGAGCTGCGGCCATCCAGGAACTAAGTTTGACACCTGTGTTTTAGACGGACATACTGCAGCTACATCAAATGATCATCTTTACTGTGAACCTTTTGAACACTGTGCCTCCCTTACCTTTCTGCATGATTAGTATTTATCTGAGGAATACGGAGCAGCTCTTATCGCCACACTCATGCAGTTCGAATGAGGTTTGCTGTGCCTGAGATTGATTCCCATATTTCGAGAGCTGGAAAAACTTTCTGCTGAATGAGCACTCTCTTACACTGTGTCACAATAGTCGTCTACCAAGTGTTTACTTTCCCCAGTTGGGGACAAATTGTTTCATCTCATTTAGTATGGATGGGGAAATTGTCTTTATGTGCTCCGCATTGTTCTGTCTCTCTTCTGAAAGTCTAAATTATCGGGATAAGTAATTCCAGAGGAAGGCCCTAATGTGTTTATTTAGCTTAATAACATATGCCTAATGATATACATGAATGAATATTTGTGTGTGAGAGTTTGTCTCCTATCTGAAAGTGAAAATTGGTTATTAGAGCTTCATTCGCCTCTATTATATGTTGTTGTGTGTAAAATGACATGTATTATTTTAAAGGGATCATGTTTAAAGTTTATTATTATTATGAAGTGAGAAAACCATTTTGATTCGATGTGTGTTGTACTGCCTACTCGTGTATTGTTGTGACATAGCAGACTTTTAGATATGTAGCTTGACACTGTAAAGATAGGAGCATTTATTTAAATGAAAGGTTTTAGGATATATTAAAGAAACCGATTTCAATTCTGATCAGGGAACAAAGGGATTCCAGGTAAAAAAAAAATTCACTGTATTATGACTGAACTACTGTTGTACAAACTTGACATATCACAGTTAAAAAGAACATGCAGGGGAAGCCATATTATAGCTTCACAAACCAGCAGAGTACAAAAATATATCAAATAATGCACTGAAAATAACTTTAAACTCAGAACTGGGATGATTTACAAAAGGAATAGTGAAGGAAAACAACAACGTTGTTCATAATGCTCTGACCTCTACATTGAACTTTATCATAATGTTTTCCAGCAAGTGTGCAGATACTGCTGCTTTTGTTTAGTACATCTTTTCCCACCTTCATTGTGTATATTTTTGTAATTTATTATTTTGAAATGAAGGATTATTCTGTTGTTGTTTTTTTTATATAGAGAAAAGTAGGCAGTGGACCAAAGCTGCCAGCAGGTTTCGTTTCTGGACTTTGTAACAGATTACCTGGATGGCCACTGTATTTGAATGTTTTCATGAAAAATAAAGCTGGTTTGGAATTAAATCTTGAGTATTTTCTGTGTAATGAACATTTCACTTAGCTGTTTAACATGCAAACAAGGCAGAAGAACTCTAACAATAACAGCCATGAGGTTTAAAAATCTAACTTTGGTACACGCTGGATCGACACTTCAGATTTATGTTAAGTCTGCACTTGGCTACCCATCTGATTTTAATAACCCAAATGCTCTGTCCAGAATGGCTTAAGCTGTAAATAAGAACCGCCTCATTTTATGATGCTAAATGTACCGTGCGTCTCCTGAGACAGCAGCGCCCCCAGCAGGCAGTCTGTGGCAGTGCAGGACGAAGGCTCTTCGTTTCCCAGACACAACAGCTGCTTGTACTGACCGCAGGGGAGCGAACATAACACCCTACCAAATATACACACGCAATGAATTTTTAATCTGATGTTATTCGTTATTCATAAACTACATATTTACACTGCACTTAGCAATTGATTTCTAAATGATCTTGAATTCAGAATTGCCTTATTCTGCAAATAAGAAACTATCATTAAAAGACGGATTGTAATACAGGCTTTCTCAAAACTAGTCCTCAAGAACTGAGAGCAATTTTAAGTACATTACCAATCAATGATGTCTTCTGTGTTTGGGTCAGGGTAAGTCTGGACCCAACGGCCAATAGACCAGATCCTTGACACTTTACTCTCGCTGTCAGTTTCTGTGCTTTCTCCTTCAGAGCTTCTGTCTTCATTCTGATCATCTGCTGCCTCAATGACATCCTCACAGCACAGAAAGTAACTGTAAAGGTAAGAAAGGGTAGCAGTGAAGACACCAATATGGCTTTATTGTTTATACTGGCATTTTGGAGTGATGTAAACCCTTAAGACTAATTTGCTGCTGCTTAGAATGGGGTTAAAGATTAAATAAGGCCTGTTATAAACACATTTTGTTGATGCTTTGCTGAACCATGTAAATTACACTTTCATTCCAAAAATGATTAGTGGCTCATTAGAAACACATTTTTAAGAATAAACACAACTGCTCTGAAATTTGGTATAATTTAATTTGTAGAGCACAATATTATAGTATTGTACTTTTTTTTTTTTTTTTTTTATTTAACCACACAGACCTTGTTTTATTGGTGCATTTAAAACAAACCATTATAAAACACTTACAGAGAGGACAATCAGAGGTTCATTATCCTTGGTTATAAATGTCGCAGCTGCAGCCAAAAAATAAGACTTGATAAGATAAAATAAACGAAATAACCCTTACACACTGTAATAAATGCTAGGTTCCACACAATTGCGACAACATCAGAGTATATATATAGGAATCAGAGAGTGAAATTCAATACCTTTTAAGACTTTATTTAAGACTCTTTCCATAAACTTTAGGACCTTAAAACCACTTTTTTAACTGGAAACACTGACGAGGTTTTAACTTACAGCATATTTACTAAATATTAAAGTAGGAAAATAATCCAAAATTGAAACATTATTCATTTACTTAATACAAATCTATTAAATCTAGCTAATTCAGCAGGTTGGTGCCTATAGAGCTGCAGAAATAATGGTGTTGCCTTGGTTACTGCAGTAAACAAAGCAGCGTTATGTCAAATCTAGCAGGAATTAATTGATTTCATAAACCACACAATATCCTGATATTCGCAGATTTAATTCAGGCAAACTTTAGCATACAAACATACATTGCATAATCAAAAATTATATACTATTTTTACCTTGCAAAATAACATTTAAGACTTTTTAATACTTTTTAAAGGGCCTTAAATTTCTCTTGATTTAACCACTTTTAATACTTTGGAAGACCCTGCGGACACCCTAAACATGAAGGAAATAAGTTAGCTCTAATACATTTTTATAAATAGTGTTGTTTCAGCTCCTTTTAGAAAAGTAGCTTAAACAAAAAGCTAATGTCATTTTTTGAGTATTTCTGATAGTTTCTTATCTTCATATAGTTTACCTTGATGCAAAAAAGTGAATATGAAATTAAACTACATTGATATTATATGAATAAACTTATATAGCATATAATTTGTTTAAATAAGTTTTATACAACTTTTAGCCAAAAATTAAAAGTTTTAAAATAATTGAAAATCTTGATAAAAATCTTATTCCTAAGCTGTCATCAGTTTTCCTATACACCTAGTATGGGGTAAAGTTAATGCCGAAAATTGATTTAGGTGAAAAATGTGTGTTTGAATGAGATCAATTATCATAAACTAACAATTATTATTACACATAAAACATGAACATGCATCCCTCTATTTCAAACAAAATGAAGTTTCATATAAACCAATTTCGAGAGGATCACGTGCTGATGATTGATCACTGCTGGTGTCACATCAACAATCACCTGACTAACCAATCAGATGAATCCCAACGCACATAAATAGTCTGCTTTTTTTTCTTTTAATTTAAGCCACGGTCACACTAGACTTTCTCCACATAGACTTTCATTCATATGCACTGTGATGAAAATTCATTTTATTCATCTTATATTTATATTTTATATACCCATTTGTTCTAGTTATAAAGGTCTGTTCTTTTTTACTTCCATGAATGTACTTTTTAGGTTAGACCAAGTGTGACCACTTTATCATCTATTTATCACTAGACAAGTGCTGGATAAGTACATGGTGATTTAAGAAACTACATGTTCTGATGAGATGTAATGTAAGGCTGAAATGTAGATGGTCAAAAATGAAGTTTGAGCGCCGGTGTAACTGATTCATCCTGTATGTCACTGACCTTGTGGGTATTACAAACTAGATAAAAAGAGAATGAACTCTGTTTCTGCGTCTCACTCTGCAGAAACTGTCGTTGCTGTATGATTGTGTGACCTTCTTTGCAAAGAATAAAACTTTTAAAAGACACTTTGGGTAAGAATTTGCCTTTTTGACCAATGAGAGAGCCTCCTTAAAGAAAATTGCCACAACAGCATGCAAATGCATCAGATTGAAAACACAAGTTTGTGCAACAATTTTCGCAGTTCGCTGCGTTGCAAAGTTCAAGTTTGGTGAACTCTGACCTGCATAATCGCATCATGACTGCGTGAGACCAATTGAAGATCAAAACATGTCCTCTTGAACAGAATTTTTTTAAAAACATGGACCAATCGCTCACTTTTTAAAATCTGTAATCATCTTTTTAAAATCTGTAATCATCATACCCCACACACCCCTTTCGCAGCGCCATACAAAAGAATTTTGCAAACTCTGAAGAAACCCCCCATCCACCTGGACTTCTTCCACTCTTTCTTACCTTAAACCTTGAGACCTACCTGAGCTCAGACTCCCCTCCCTCCCGGGACAGCATGCAAAATAGACATTTACCTTATCAAGCATCAGCTAAGTGTGAACTCTTAAAACAGTATATTTTTAAATGATGTCTGTCTGACTGAACCTCACTTACAACTCTGCACTGTCATATGTCTTTCCATCTCCTTCTTCCTCAATCTCTCGCTCCACATTCCAGCGCATTCGTTTATATAGGCCGGTAAGGGATGAGGCAAGAAACGGTGTCGGGCAACAGTAGCGGAAAATTGACACCTTCATGTTGTCTATTTGACACTGGCCAATACTGAAGTGTGAGACACTATAAAACAAGATAGAAAATCTGCAATGAGGGAATAATTTTTATGACTACAATTATGCTACAACTAAAAATCAGGAGTCTAGGAAACTTTAGATATTCAATTAAATTAATCTTTAATTCTATAGCGCTTTTACAATGTAGATTTTTGTCAAAGCAGCTTAACATACACTGTTAGACACTGCTGCAAGTGTACAGTTGTTTACTGTAAAAACACCTAGTAAAATACCACTTACATTTTAACAGTTCACTACTTTATTATGCACTGGATTGTGAGTCATTTTAAAACTTTTACTGTAACTCAATGCATACAAGGTTCATACACATTTTACTACAAAAATTCCATGACTTTTCCAGGATTTTCAAGTCAATTTTCATGACCTAATGTTTCATGTAATGTCTATGTATACATGGTAAATCATAAGAAAAACAACAAAGGTTTAAATTTATTACAGTATATCATAAAACAAGCAATCGTTTCAATTTATTTGTATATCTATGTAAACTCGATGATCCTAGCACAGCACTAATAATGTGAGAGCATGTTTCTGGCTAAGAAAAGTAGTAAAACATCTAACCTCCATTCCTGCATACAGATATTTGTCAAACTGTTTTTAGATGATGTTAATAGTTTGTTAAACTAGTAATAGTAGGTAAAACTAATTCTATTATACAGCTGCGGTCAAACTGCACTTTTCGCTCTATAGACTTACATTCATAGGCATACGAATGCGGCAGACGGACAAGTTTCGCATTTCACTGCATTCGAAAATTCAAGCTTGGTGATTTCTTATCTGCGAACTCACATCAGGTGATCGCGTGAGACCAATAGAAAATCATTTAAAATAAGAAATTGAAAATATGAAGCAAACACTCACTTTTATTAAAGTATAATCATATTGTTTAACCCCGCCCCTTTTCGCACTGCCACATGACAGAATTTTCCAAGCACAAGCTTTAGTGCTTTGGACAAAAACGTCTGCTAAATGACTAAATGTAAATCTAATTTCCTTGACTTTTCCAAAACCTTGTGGGTTTTTCTGTTTTTCCAAAACTTTCCAGGCCTGGAAAATCCCATGTCAAAATTCCTTGACTTTACTAGGTTTTCTATGACCTTATGAGCCCTGTGCATGTTGGAAATTTGTGGTATTCCACTGTAATTAATCAAGTACTGCTACTGTAGTCGAAGACAAAAATTTGTTAATTTAAATAATTACGTAACATCTTGTATCACAAAATGTATATGAAATAGATTGATAAATGAAAATTACTTTAATAAACCATTTAAAATGGATATAAAAACAATTAATAATTAAAATATTGTTGTACATGGTCTTCTCACGTGTTTAGAATTTATTAAAATCAATAGTAAATACGGCGGTTCATTCTGCTGTGGCAACCCCAGATTAATAAAGGGAATAAGCCGAAAAGAAAATGAATGAATTGTAAATACTAAAAATGAAGGTGTACTGCCAGTGTAAACTCTAAAAACTGTCATAATATAAATTTAAAATGAGATAAAGGGCATTTTTCCATTAAAAAAAGTAGTTGCAGTAAGGCTTTTTTTCTTTCAAATGAAATTGTGGTAGCGCCCTGCTACTGTAAAACACATTTACAGGTAAGTAACTTTAAAGGGGCAGTTGCGGTAAATTGCTGGTAACAGTACTGCCAGTAGGCTACTGTTAAAATACAATAAAATGTCTAACAGTGTAGATGGATGACGAATAGGTATGTTCTGCCATTTAGGTCTGCCTATGCATTTGTCAATGATTCTGTTAGTACCTCAGTGGATCAGATTCCTCCAGTGAACAGAAGCTGAAGGAGGCAAACAGCAACACCAGCTGCTCCAGACGGGAACACAGTTGCTGGGAGAACTGCAAAAGCTGGGAGGGAATGCAAATACAATGCATATAGATGTTCATCTTACAATGTTGAATATGATACGCACAAAAAATCTGATTCTCACCTGCATGCGGATATTTGAAGACTGAGGTGGGCAGAAAGGGTTGGAGTTTCTGGCTGTGGACTCCAGGAGGGAGAAGAAGGGCTGACAGGTTTCCAAAAACATTGGAATGATATTGCCAAACCCATAATCCTGGACACAGTCTCGGCTAAAACAAACACATACAGTAGAAGTGATTCAATAATATATGTATCTTAATTTGTCCAGGGACTGAAATGGGTGTTTTAAAAGGATATTCTAAATCTAAAAACTTTTTGGGAAATTTTGATGAAACATGATTATACACTTCAAATACGGACTTCTGTTTATGTGAGGAGAGACTTATTTTGTCTTAAAATACTCTAAATACTCCTTTAAAAGAATGTTTAGATATGTGTTATTGCCCCATTAAAAAAGGCCTAAAAGAAGAGATGCTTGTTCACGGCATGTTTTAGCAACAATGCTAACATTCTTAGCATGTTTAGAAATCTGACAGCATGTTGTTAGCATGTATACGGCATGTTTAACTTGTTGCTAGCCTGTTTTAAAATTTTGCTACCACATGAAAAAATACTAAAGAATCGAATAGTTAATGTGGTGTTTTCCAACCATGCTATGGTAAAGTGTATTGTACTGAATATATATAGTGTTTACAGCATGCTATTGTGAACTGATAAGCTGTAATACTGTAGTTTACTTTTTACTAAACTGTGTATTGTGGTGTAATTTATATTGTAGAAAACATAGTCAAGTATTGTGTAACGTGTTCATATTACTGTAGTTGATGTACTACTACCACAGCAATTATAGAATTACCACAACAGATTAATTAATACTTTAATATGTTGTATTTGCAATAAATAACTATAGTATTTTTTCCACAGTGGTTTAAGCTCTTAGCAGTTGTTAGCATGTTATTAGCATTATTTTAATACTCTAAATTTGATTTAGCATATAAATAGCATCTATACTGCACGTTTTAGCATGTTGCTAGCATTATTAAACCAATCACAAATATGTTGATCTAAACTTTAAATGGATAGTTTACTCAGAAATGAAAACTCTGTCCTCATTTACTTTTTTAACAATTAATTTAACATTTATTAGTTCAGTTTCTTCAACTAAACTTAGAAGATAATCTACAGAAAACTTTTTAACTATTTTTGCTGCTATAGGTGCCGCTAACTATTAATTAGCTAACCAACATCCTTTAAAATATCATCTTGTGTGTTCAACAAAATAAAAGAAACTCACAAAGGGTTGGAACCACTTGAGAGTGATTAAATGGCGAGTGGATTTTCATTTTTGGAAGAACTACCCTTTTGCTATGACACGTGCAATAGTAAAACCTTTCACTTAAATGTAGATCCAAGCACACCTCCACACCAGCTGTGTTTGAAACTCATCTGCCTTGCTCAGCAGGTATTGAAGCTGCTTCTCAATGCGAGAGATTTTATCCTCCATAATTCTCGTGTCCTCACAGGATGGAGTGTATCCACTGAGTGGATCTTCATCCCATAAAAACGTACCATCGCCGAAAGAGGACGCTATTGTAGTGTTCTCTGCAGACAAGAAAAATATGTTTTAGCAGCATCATATGTGAATTTGCTGCTGGTTTAAGGGTTAAATTAATTATAACAAATATTTATTGCCCTTCATTACCTTCTACGGTCTCTGTAATCGCTTCTTGATCTGTCAGAGACTGCTCTGCTTCATTCGTTTCCCGCAATAAAGACGCTAATTCGTCGTGCTCTGTGTTAGCCATTATGGCCTAAAGTTAACGTTAATCAGATAATATGAAAACCTTCAGTTTTGGGCTTTAAAAAATGCATATAAAAGTAACTGATGACAAACTTGCTAATGTTAATAAATTCGATAACGTTAATCGGCGACGGTAAACAAGTTAACATTAGCTTAAAGGAGACAAGCAATATTGGCATTACTGTGCTTGTTAAAAGATGTCACCATACCTGAAGTTATTCAAACTTTGACGGCTCAGTTAATTGCTTACTTTGTCCATTAATGCAAGTGCATTGTACAGCATCGGTAAAGTAATCTGTGGTGATTCGTCGCAGGTCAGAAGTTCAGTCATTTTACCATGACCATATTAGTATTTCCTTCACCCTTGAAAGGCATCATTGGGATGTCGTAATATGCATTAATTGAAATATTTTTATTATTATTATGAAACAATTATATAAAATATGTTTTTAATTAGTTCACATTAGTTCAATATAGTTTTGTTATCACTTTCATCCACAATTGTATTTTTTATTTAATTTAATTTTTTACCTTTTTGGGGCTCAAACTAATTTTTTCTGAATAGGATTTAACTGGACAAAGACAGCGTAGTGCGAAGGAGTCATAACTATTTTTCGTCTGTTTATCCAAGTTAACAAGATGTGATAATTATGATTTTGTGTGTGTGTGTGTCTGTGTGTGTGTGTGTGTGCATGGTGTGTGTGTGTATATATATGGACACAGCTATAATAATAATACATTTTTATTTATAAAGCGCCTTTTCAGAGCTCAAAGACACTTTACAAAGAATTTAACAAAAAGAGATTGTATGAACAGGAAGAATATTGCTTAAAGTAAACCCCCTCTGGAAATCAAATCTGGAAATTAAGTAAACCATCTTTAGTTTCACTCTGATTTAGTGATATGCTGCTGGTTTTTTAAAAGAAGGAGAAAATCAAATACTTTCTTAGAGGATCCACTAAACGTTTTTATACAGTATGGAATCCAATGATCTCATACTTTGAAAAAGGCGTAACACTTCCTCCAAACTAAAACTAATAGGGAAATTAAAGGTCTATGCTTAAAAGAATGGGCAAACATTACTGTTAAATACTTCTTCACTGTGCTATCAAAACTCTGACAATGTAAATATTTAAATTAATTTAGTATTAATTTAACTAATTAGTTTTATTTATTTATTTATTTATTGTTATTTTTATTAGATTTTTTTTATTATTTGATTATTTTTCAAAGGGGAGGGAGGTTGTTCAATGGGAAAATTAACAAAAAAAGAGAAAAAGTCTTGTCAAATATTTTCATGTATTAATTCACTTTGTTTTTCTTTCAATAAAAAACAATTTAAAAAAAGAGATAGTACATAGCATGGGTAGATTTGGGAGCAATTCAACAATTATTGAAAATAGTAAAAGCCTATACTGTACAATGCTGAACAATGCTAATACCAGTAATATATAATGGCAGTAGAATACAATTTGGCATCAGCATCTTTAAAAAATGAGATGAAACATAATATCAGTCCTTAAGAACAGGATGATGAGCCTTCAGCACATCATTCTCAGTAGTGGTACAGAAATGCAAAGGAACTTTACAAATATAAAACACCTACAGACTGTGTACTAGTATTCACTAAGGGGGTAAAGATACTTCCAGTTAAAGAAGAACTGAAATCATTCTGAAATAAGAAATACACTGTACAAATAATAGTAGTTTTGGATGGATTGCTGATGTAGATGAACAGAATAAACCATTGTTATACAATAACCATTAAACAGAAATTGGGGAAAATAAACAAGGGGGCTAATAATTCTGACTTCAAATGTATATAATAATACTCCAGTCTACAAACTAATCTGTGCGGGCCGTCGGGGGAGACTGGAGGGGGGACAAGCGTGCTTTGGCCCGGTTCGAGGCAACTGTACCTAGTGTGAGTATGACCTAAAACTCCAGACACTCATTACAGCTGCAGCAGGATATACATGAAGAGTTTGTTTGCAAAAAAAATGTGTAAAACAAAAAACTTTGTGAGCAAAAAAATTAAATAACCCCTTCATATACCACTCTTTGAAATAATATTAGACTGTTTAGATATGGGGTCAATTTTACTGGCCACGCAAAGGATGGAAACACAATAGAGACATGATGTGGTGACGGTAGTTGTTTGATCCAACTCAAGAACATGACTTTTTGTTGGAAATTTGTACAAAATTTATACTAAAATCAAAAAGAAACAAAGGTTTATGAATACCGCCTCATGTACAGGAGTAAAGGTCAATGGGTTGGCAGAGAAGCTGACTTTTAACTTAGAGAAACGCATCAAACATTGTTTACTTCCCTATCAGTTTAATGGGGAAGGGATTGCTCCAATATGCCGAGAGAAGGTTTGCGAAGAAATTTTATGCTTCCTTGTATTTTGTAGTATTTTCAAAAAACAATATAGCCTACAGTATTTTAATTTGACATATTAGTGGCTGTTGTATTTGTTTATTTTGATACACATGCAATTAAGGTATTTGATAATTTATTTTAAAATACATTTCAATGTAGTTTTGCCCATCCCTGTCTATAGACTTTATTCCTGGTAAACAAAAGAAAAAATTCTGAACAGTGTTGGAAACTGGTAACCACTGAGAACTAAATAGGAAAAACAAATACTAAGGATGCCAATGGTTACTGGTTTTCAATAGTGTTCAAAATATATTCTATGTTCAACAGAAGAATGAACTCAAACAGGGTTGTGACAAATAAAGAGTAAATAAATGATGACACTGTGTTTTTAAACATATTTTGCTGTGTAAATCATTTCGTCCATGCTGCTGTCATATGCTAAGCCACGAGAGAGTGATGAAACCATATTCATTTGCCTGTGGACACAATACAAGGTCACGTGACCCACAGGAGCGCGCAACCGGCGTGCTGGCAGTGCACGCGCCCGGTAATAGTAAACGACCCTCCCGCGCGAGCGAGCCATCATCACTGGCGCGAGGCTCACACGGGCGACACTCTCTTTTACAAAAGGGCGAATTTGTTTATTATTCCCCGGCTGTGAATATCAACTTCTCGGGCTTCGTTTGTTGAAGAAACGACAGTTGAGCTGAATATACCGTTGGTGTTTTCGGGTGATGAATTGAGAAGAAAAGCTGAACTCTTTTTGACCAGTTACCCTGCCCAGTGCGGTACATGTATGCAGCTGAGAAAGAGCAACTATTCCAGGACGATGTTATGGATAAATGCACGCGACTTAACGCCAAGCTGTGGATATGTCAGTGGATAGTTTGAATGGACGTTGTCAGACATACAGCTAATGCTTTTATATCGTATTCGCATACAATTGTTTTCATCCTAAATGCGATTTTAATTGCTTATGACAGCATGCATCAGGTATTACAGTGATGCAACAGCATTTATTACATGTTAACAAGTTGTTCGAGCGCTGTTGGATCTTAAACTGTTGCATTGAGGGCTGACAGAAGAATAGGATCCCTTTGTCGGCGATCGTTGGGAATCTAGGAAGAGGAGGAACGACAATTTGGGTGTCCTGAAACAAACGACAATCCAGATATACAACCATGGCAAATGACTCAATCCAAGTAAGTTTGCTGCTAGTTACAGAATAAACCATGCTAGTTAGTTCCCAAAACATCCCACGTGTTTTTTCTTCTAATATAATGTGGATGTGGAGGGCAGACGATTGAGTAGCTTAAAGGGATAGTTCACCTAAAATTCTGAAAATTGTACTTCATTTACTCATCCTTGATTTTACTCCAAACTAAACTGTTAAGGTGTTTATTCAGGAAAAACAAATATTATGGCAGACAAAATGATACAGATTTACTACAACTTATATATAGATTTTTTTCTTATATACTTATGTTAGGAATGCTCCCAATCAGGATTTTTGCAGCCGATTTCGAGTACCAATTCCTTGTCATGGTGATCGGCCGATACAGAGTACTGATTCTGATGCTTCAAGTTTTTTAATGCATAACGCTTATTGTTACTCTAAGCATGAGACTTAAGTGCCTTAGCTAATAGAATAAATGAAAGATGTTGCATATAATCTCCTAAACATGTCTCTTATAACCATTTTGTGTGGACATGTAATGATCAGAAGCAGCTTTATAGAAAATAATAGATAAAACAGATAAAAAATAGTAAGAAAAATCCCAAAGCAATTTGGAAACATTGCAAATGATGAAAGGATCATGTCTCAATGAAGTTTAGAGCACATATTTGATGCATAAGAAGTTAAAATGCACCTATTAATCCATTACTTCTTATTGAAAGGAAATCGGCCTATAAGCCACATTTATTTAAATGTTTATTACAATAAGCTGTATTAATAAATTTTCAAGTTAAAAATTATGTAATTTTTTTCCCTCATATTTCCAGCCAGCTTTTAATGAACTTGCAATATTGTAACAAACACTTTTGATCGGTTCATGAGATCGGCCAGATTAGCAAGAACCGATCGAGTAATGAAATGTGATACCGATCTCTGGCTGATCGATGGGAGCATCCCTAACTTATATATATATAATCAGAACAAAAACAATTAAAAAACAATTATAGGGTGAGGAAATAATGACAGAATTTGGGTGAACTATCCCTTTAAGACCCAGAAGATGCATTCCCTTATACTTAACAAGCTCGTATGCATGGGAGAATTACTGAGTTTATCTTTGAAATGATGCATTCCCTCATTCACTCTTCATCTAATAGAGTCAGTTCTCTTCTATTATGATGTGAATGGATATTTCTGGTGGCTAAACACAGCCTACATGTTTTGGTTGTACACTACATGAACTCATCTGGAAAGCCTTGTTAAACACCAGTTTGTCCAGACACTTATAGTAGTGGTGGTTTGTCAAGAATTTGCTCAAATGATATCTTAATGAATGGAAGCATAAGTGCAATGAAGACAGATAGGTAACATTCACCCTTTTATGACTTCTGGAAAATATTTAATGGGTTTTTCTATTTATGGTAAATCAAATATAAGCCAGAACACTTGTGTTATGTAAGACGAGCAATGTGAGCACATATGCTGACCAGATTCTTTAGGGAAAATGTCAAAAAGCAGTTGAAAACGAATGTTTAGCCAGATGCTTTTTGAATGAGTAATGTGTGATATATCTGCCAGGATGACTGATCCAAAAATATGTTTCAGTTTCAGCAGATTTAGCAAATTACCAACTCATTAACAAGAATTATTTAAAGGGCACCTATTTCACAACACGCACACACACACACAAAATAAACCTGATTTAACGTCCTCCTTTATAATTGTACTGACATGCAGCTGTGGTGATAAAGACGGTAAAATCGCTGTATTCATTACAAACATGCACTGTTTTAAAAAGGTTTTAAACTTGAAAAACTTGACCATGATTGATGATGATCACAGAACGCTGAACAGATCTTTTAGTCCCAGATGCAATTGCGCACGTCCTGTCTTGTTGATATGATTATATGCGTTACTATGAGACATATTAATACGCAGCTCTCATTCAATTCGGTGGGCAGGAAAACTGCACTCCTATGTCACTTTGCGGTCGGCCTCATAATGAGAGCGATTTGGATCCTGTTTTAACGTCAGAAAATTTAAAAAAGGAAACTGATCAGGGTTCAACGCTAAGGACATTTTCTACTGGCCCGACTGGACCAGCAGTTCAGATTTTTACTGGCCCTGCCAAAATTTTCACTGGCCCCACCAAAATAAATAAATTAAAAATAAATAAATAAATAAATAAATAATAGCTATTTTTTTAGCCACATATTTTAAATAATGTGTCAAAATGTCTTTGAATCTAGAATTTAAATATTTTAAAAATGTTAAAATATTTAGCAGTAAAATACAGCAGTATGGAAAATGTGTAGGTATTTTATTGCTAAACAAAAAGTGGCTGACTTAAAGTGATGGAAAACTATGCAAAACATCACTTCATTTTTTTCGTTGTGTTGTACCCATGTAAATATCTTTTTCCACAACGTTGGAAACAGACGTTTTCTTTTAGCCTCATCATTTGATGTTGTCGTCTCTTCACTGTTCTGGTTTATACCAGGTTGTGGAAAAAAATAACGTACTCACAACAACCAATCAGATAAAAGGAACCAAAAAGCAATATGGGGTTTACGACTTTACAGAAAACGTAGCATTCTGAGACTTAAAAGCACAAATTGTTTCTCGGTTCTAAGACCGTATTTGCACACAATTGACATAGTAGCAGGCAAATTAAAATTTGATGACAAGGCCGCACTGGCCTGATCGAGCCAGTAACGATTCTCTCTACTGTCCCGAACATCTCTCATGCTGGCCCCGGGCCATCGGGCAGTCCTTATTGTTGAGCCCTGCTTATTGTCTTGATATCACCCCAATATGACTGTAGACACAATATACCGACACAAAGGTCTGTCCAAACAGCTTACAAAAGATGATTTTCATCATAGGTGCCCTTTAAATAAATAACTGACAATCAACTGATTAAAATTTTTGACTGACCAAAATAGTGTCTCACCATTTGATTAATCATGAGTAATCGACTATTATTAGATGATTAAATAGATTTTTTTAGACCATAGTGCTTTCCCCACTTTTTGTATATTTCATTTTATACAAGATGGACTTGCCGAATGCGATGAATTCTTATAAATAGTGACCAAATACAAACAGACAACATGGAAATGACTCAGATTCTCCCAGTGAAATATCTAACAGTGTGGTCAACCTTACACAGACACACATGTGTTCAGATTTAGAATGACTAAGCAAGAACAGTCATCAGGAATGTGATTATGTCAGGGACTGAATGACAACAGCTGATTCACATAATGAGCATCATTTTTTTGTTTTGTTTTGTTCTGTTTAGAGCTCCGCCAAGATCCAAATTCATAGATGCAGTGATCTTATCTTTCTTATCCTCACAGCAGGAGATTGTATGCACAGATGCATCTCACAACCTCCTCGCTGACTTAATCTAACAGTTTATTTGCTCACTAGATTACTAGTTCACAGATGGAGCTGACAGAACCTAATGTTATGTGCTAGGCTAGCACGTTCTGCAAAGGCTTATCCCTGTGAACTCAAATGTCCTGTTGTGTATTTGTACGTTTTATTAAGTAAGTTCCCCGGCCCGCTACGCATTAGGCCAGCTTAATGGGGTTTGAAGAGTAGGCCAATTCCCTGTTTCCTGTCCTGTCTTCAATTTACGGGCTTTTAACACAATCGCATATTGTTTTTGTCAATACGTACCAGCAGCAAATCAATGCTCAGTGTGGGTTTATGGAATTAGGTACACCTTTTACCTGTTTGGCTTCATTTAGTGTCTTTTTGGCAGTTCATTTGATCTACTAAGCAGTTTAAAATCAAATGGACATACCTGTTTAAATAGTAATTCACCTAGAAATCTAAATTGGTGGTTAAATTTTAAAAACAACACAGGTTCATTGTAAAAAAGTACCCAGTATACATTTCTGGAGAGTGAAAATTAAGGCTTAAGGTTTACTTCTGCGTCAAGTGAACGGCATGACCCACGGCGCATGCCCTGGACAATGCCGTGCATTTATACTTCTGTGTGCTGTTTGTGTTGCTCTGCAATAACACTTCCAAAACACTAGCTGGCAGTAGGTTTTTATGTACCTCTGTGCCGAGTTTCTTCGCTGGCTTTTTATAATTTGAAGACTACCTTAATATGCAAGTGGCTCAAACTCGCTCGTTTTGGGGCAGGAATCAGTGGACATACAACATCTTTAATCATAAGGTAAACACAAAACAACAGTTTCCATTTAGAGCTCCTTCATGGGACTCAACTCTTGTAAACACTCGCTCCATCAGACTTGCGTGGCTCTCACCCCTGCCCACACTTGTCAGCGCTACCAAGCCGACAAATCAAAAAGCTTGCGCTATGCGTCGTTGCGACGTGTAGTTAATTTTTTTGAGAGATGTGCATCAGCTGAGGGCTTTGGTGCAGCATACGCATGCTCTTGACGAAGTAGTGTAAATCAGCCTTTAGGTAGCCAGAACTACGACAGCTTCTGTTTCTTTTTGCGCTACCAGCTGACTGCTTACCTCTGTGTGAGCGGCTTTTCTGCTTTTAATAGTTTGCCCAGTAACTCGCCATGTACATTGGCGGACTTGAGAAACAGAGAGGAGTTGACCGCTGGTTCCAGAAAGCAGGTAAGACAAAAACAAAAGCCAACAAATAAATTAAACAATACATAACAGGGTGAGAACTTTGTAAGATCTGAAAACTGATTGCCTTTGAAAACACTGTTGGTTTGGTTTAGGAAAGGGGGTTGGGGTGGTCAATCCGTGCTTTTGAAAACACTCAGTTGGCTTTAGGGAAAGGTAGGGGGTTCGGCCCGTCAGTCAGTTGACATCGGATTCTGGTGGATTTACGCGAGAACAGCAGGCACGAATGACACTCGCGAGAGAAATTTGAGATCTGAAAAGCATACACAGTGACCTCTGGTGGATTCGCGAAAGCAAAAACTGCAAAAAAGTACCTCCTGGGACATATTTTGCGATCTCCAGAAATGTATACAGGGGTACGTATCAATAATAAGCCTGGGTTGCTTAACAAAAATGTTG